AGTAGGAAGGACTATGATGATTTAAAAAAATCGAATATAATTAATAGCTTAGAAAAAACTGAAATTAAGTTGCATATAATATTAGCATAAGGAAGGGATCCTATTTTGTTTTAAAGGCAAAATAATTTCTTTCTAAAATAACATTTTTGTAATCAAATATGTACTTTAAAAGCATAAAAATACCAAACGAACATAATTTTTATGAAAAAAGCTAATTGCTACATAAAATTATATAAGTGAAAAGGGTTTTGTTAAAAATTAAGTTCTTGTACAAATTTATATCATCAATTAAATAATTAATTATTCTTCGTGCTTGTAAAGTATTGTAGTTAAATTGAGAAAAAATAAATTGACTAAAAAATAGGTGTTTGATAACCCTTTCAAAACTATAATTTTAAATAAAAACCATGGTTTTAAAAACACAATCTCAGAACAAAGCATATATATAGAAAAAAGTATCCCCAGTTGTAACTTCCTTGTGGCAAATGACAACCAAGAAACTCAACACATGTATGGCCATTGTTTTGGACTGCCTTGATATTGAAAAATACATTAATTAGAGCTCTCTCTCTTTCTCTCAAAAACAGGTAAATTACAATAAATAGAGATGAACACCTTTTAAGAGATGAACGTTAGGGTTTCAAACTGAACGTTAGGGCTCCTTTTTGCAGGCAGGTGGTAGTGAAATTCTGTCAACTGTTTCTCTGCCAGATTCTTTTCTAATTTACCAGCACGCTGTATTTGTTTTTACCATTTCTAGCAAACATACTGTCCATCTATTTTACTCTTTTACCCTTTGTAATATATTTCTAGTTTTTTCAATTTTCAAGAACTGCTGGCTTGTCAAATAGAGGATTTATGTGATGATTATAACATGATCATTTCTAACCTTGAAGTTTGAAATTTGGTTGTATATTTAAATTTAGTTGATTGAAATATGCATTGAGAAGTTATAGTGAGCTTTTGCCAACAAGCTTGTTTGATATTGTTGTGTTATATATAATATGCATGGTGTTCGTTTGGTGCTGTGCCGGGTGGCAAAGCAATGGTTGGAAATTGGTTACTACGTTTTACTTGTTAGTGAATTTAAAGGAAATAAATAATATTTAATTAAATTATATTGTTATGCTTTTGAGATATAAAATTATAAATATTATAAATATGTTAATAAATATATTTCATTTATAATAAATGATTATTAACTTTATTTTTTTGTAACCATAAATGTCTGGTCAGTTTATATATATCTCGACTAATTTTTTGAGATTTTAGAGTCAATGATTATATAAGATTTCAATGATTTCTGAGATTTGCAACACTTGAACCGTGATATTAAACTATAATTTTTAGGATTAATGATTATTAACTCTTAATTTTATATTATATTATATGTACGTAGTTAATGGCGGAGCCTGTAGAGACAAAACGTGGCAATTGCCTTCTTAATTTTTTTTTAAATATTTTTCATATTAGGATATTAATATAATAATTTGATGAAGGTTTGGTATATATGTGAGTGTAGCTCTTTAACTAACACCCCTTTTCCTTTATAGTCGTTGTTGCCTGCCTCTTTCTATTATTATGTAAATTTTTCTTCAAAGTTTTTATTTTTTTATTTTTTATGGTTTAGGTAATTTTTTTTATTTCATTTTCTAATTTAGTTTTATTTTCTAATTAGTTATTAAAAATATTAAGATTTATAATAATTTAGGGGTTTTTATATGAATGTGTTCAAATATGTTCAAAATAAATGTTTAAATTTACTAATTTAATTAATTAAGTATTTCTTTTCTTATTATAAATGAATAAATTGATGTTAATGCAAAACCAGTATTCTTATCATTTCTTATATTGACAGGGTACATTATTAAAATTATTTAACTGAAGTATCTTAATTTATTATAATCATGGATTAATTATTTAATTGAGGTCTTTTAATTTACAATGTATATATATTAATTATTATTTTATATTACAAATTTGTTTGTAATTAATTGTTAATGAGATGCTTGGAATTAGGAGAGGGCATAGGTTTAAATCCCATGAGCTACACTTTTTCTCTCTTGGTATTTTTTTATTATTTGAAACTAGAATATAATATTAAAACAAAACTTATTTTACATATTTGACTTAGTGAGTCCATACAATTTTTTTCTAATATCTAGAAATATTTTAAATGTCTAGAAATAATTAAGTATAACTTAATCAGTATACTTATTATATGCATATAGATATAAATAGAAATGAATTTTAATGAATTGTTATGCATTTTGCTATGAATTTCATATGAAAGATGTAGAATTATTGTATAACTCAACTGACTTTTATTTAACAGTAAATTATTATGTAGTTGTGTTAATTATTATGCAGAAAAAAATCATAATAATAATAATAATAAACTAGCCGGTTCATCAATTAAATTAACATATCACTAAACAAGTATTTCAAGCATAAATTTTTTGAGGATGAAAAATCATTCAAAGTTTCCAATAATGTAACTCAATTAAATTCAAAGAAAAATCAAATTGAAAAGTTATATAGTATAGGTTGGTAATATAGGTTATCTATGCCCTTTTATCTAAAAAATTATAGCTCCGCCATTATGTGTGTGTGGTAAAGCCTTTTATCTAAAAAATTATAGCTCCGCCACTATGTGTGGTAAATTAATTCTTATATTTTAAAAACTATGAAATTTAAATAACATAATAACACATGTTATTTTAAATAAAAAATTAAATATGATCAATAACATATTAAAAAAGGTTTTGAAATTAAGTCACTAGATACACTTTCATTTGTGGAACATGTATAATTTGTTAAAATAATTAATATAAAATTTTTATTTTAATTAAGAAAGTAAATCTCATAATAAAAGATTGTGTTTTTAATTTAAAGCATAAGGTTTCCTATTTTGTTTTTAAAAAAAAATAATTTTTTAAAAATAAAATTTGATATCAAATATTTTTATGTTACAAAAAGATGTACTATAAGAGTATAAAAATAACAACAAAAAACATAATTTTTATGAAAAAACTAATTCCTACATAAAATATCATTATTCATTGTTATTATAAAAGAGTTTTGTCAAAAAGTTCTTGCACGAATTTATTTTTTCTATTAAATAATTATTCTTAGTAAAGTTAACCAAAAAAAAGAGTCAAAAATAGGTTTTTGATAACCCTTTCAAAACCATAATTTTAAATACAAAAAAAGAGTCAAAAATAGGTTTTTGATAACCTTTTCAAAACCATAATTTTAAATACATATAGTTTTAAAAACACAATCTCAAAACAAGGCATATATAGAAAAGTATCTGGTATTGTAACTTCTCTGTGCCAAATGACAACCAAGAAATTCAACACATGTATGGCCAATGTTCTGGGCTCCCTTGATAAGAAAATAATAATTAATTAGAGCTAACTCACTCTCAAAAATAGGTAAATTACAATAAATAGAGAAGAACACCTCTTCCTACTGCTTTTAAAGAGATGAACACTGGCTTTTGTTTGGGTGCCAAACTGTACGTTAGGACTCCATTTTGTGGGCAGGTGGCAGTGAAACTCTATCAACTTTTCCTCGACCAGATTCTTTTCTAATTTACCAGCACACTGTATTTTATTTTACCATTTCTAGCCAACACATTGCCCATCTATTTTACTCTTCTGCCCTTAGTAATACATTTCTATTTTTTCAATTTTCAAAAAATGTTGGTTTGTCAATTTGAGGGTTTATGTGATAATATCCAAGTTTTCATGAATCTCAACACTACAGCAAATGTATTTTAGTAATGAGATATTGTATGGCCAAACATGATTTCTAACCTTGAGAACTAATTAGTTGCACCATTAATTTGAAATTTAGTTGTGTATTTAATTTTAGTTGATTGAAATGTATATTGAAACTACCAATTCAAAGATAATTTATACTTCCTTTTTTAATTAATGACTTGAAAAATTATAGTTTTAATTTTTTATGTTAAGAAAAATTAGTATTTACATTTTTTTTATTTAGTAATTTATGCGTGATGATATAAATTTTAATTATTTAAAGATAAAAACACGTGTTTTTAAAATTTATAGATTAAGATATGCATTTATATCAATAATGATTATATTTGAATAAAAACATGTTGTCGTATTATAAAAAGAACTTTTTTCGAAGTTGTAGATTAATGAAGAGCGATCAATTATTAACGTTGTCATTATAAAACCAGCCGACAAAAACATGATGTATGTTACATTTTAAGTTTGTTATTTAATATGTTTGATCGATATAAAATAACTTTATATTTTTCTAAATTGTTTAAATTATTCTAAAAAATAACCATCATCTTCCCCTTTAAACAAATTTATGAAAAGATAATAAAAGCTTGGCATTTTCAAATTTCTTTAACTATATTCCTCAGCTAGCCAAAGCATCAAATTATCTATATGATAGAAGACACCTTCACATGATAAGACACAAGGTTACTATGGTCATTTCCACACATCTACTCATAATCTCCGCAAGAAGGCAAAGGAATCAAACAAAATCTCTCAACAGGGCCACCATGGAAGGTCATTTTGGCAAGTTTAAGGCAGCCTTCAACTGCTTCTTTTACTATATAAGAACCTAGTAATTTGATAGTGAAAGCATCCTACTAAAAAAAAAAAGCAGAAAATTTCTCTTTCAGTTTTCCTCCATCTTTAATCTACTTCCCCCAGCCCCAAATCTCTTCTGTCTTCTCTCATTTTTTGTAGTTAACAATGGAAAACCAATCGGATGCTTCCAAATCTCCTCTTTCACCACCCAAACCTAAAGAAAAACATATCAGATTCAATCCTCCTCCTCCTCCTCCTCCTCCTCCTCCTCCTTCTCCTCCATCCAAGATAAACATCGAAGGACCACACCTGCCAATGATAAAAGATAATGTTTCTTGCTTGCGAGGAACAGTTGAGCCTGTGAGAAGGCCTAATATGAATGGTAAAAATAAAAATATAGATTTTAACATGCATCGTAAAATGGAAAATTATGAGAAGATGATCACTGAAGGGGTCAAAAAGTTTGTGCAAGAGTACTACAAGAAGAATCCTGATGATGCTTGGACTGATCAAGAACACGAGTACATTTCCTCATCCTAATTTAATTACTGATCCATTTATTTTTCAACAAATAATTATTATGTTTTTATGCTTTTATTTTTGTTTGTTAATTTGTTATAGACATCTTAAATCATGTGTGTGTTCTTGCATGTGCCATCTTATGTATATTTTGCCAATTTCATTTTTTGTCATAGTTTTTATATTATTGAAACTTTCGTTTCAATTTCAAGGTGATGAAATTAAATCGTCACATGTATATGTTGAGATCTTTTTTAAGATTTTCTATTTTTATTTATTCTATTTTTTATGTATCCTAATTAATTAGTTTTTTATGGACAGGTCGCTCTCGGAATATACACTCAAAAAACTAAAGGAATAAAATGGGATTTGAGTTTGGAATAATCATATCTTAATTTAGGTGATATAAATAAATAAATAAATGATAATGTTGTTTTTACATTATTTATATGTCTGTATTCTCTAGTACTCAAGTTATCTTTCGATAAGTCCTATGCGAAATTTTTCATTTTTCTTTTTTTTTAAGAAAAATCATATTTACCTTTTTAATGTTTCTTGAAGAGAAAAACACCGAACTCAAAATTATTGTGGATCTCACTTGCGAAACAGTGAAACCCAATAAATTCTTAACATTCATTAATTCGAAATTAATTTGACGGTATAATTTCATAATATTATTACTTTATGTTGAGTTAATTAACTGATTTAATAATCTTTTGTTCATTAACTTGTTGTTTTGCAGGCTATTCCTAATGGGACTGAGGAAGTATGGAACAGGAAATCATGGGAAAATATCCAAGAAGTTTGTCAAGACCAAAAATCTTCAACAAGTCAAAAACCATGCTAACTTGGTGTTCCAGCATTTGAAATCCTCTACAAGAAAGGGACCAAACAACAAAGTTGGCGTCGAAAAGTACGATCCTGCTGCAGCCAATATTGCTAGCACCTCCTACGTCGTGGTGCCTGATGTTGCTGATGCTGCCTCAGGAACCAACGGGGTGGTAGAGCCAGAAACAAATGCCATTGTGGTTGATCAGATCATAGCCACAACTAATCGTACTACACCGATGGACTTGTTTCCAACATCCGAGCCCAAGCCAACCTTAATCATGTTCCCTGTGACAGCACCAACGTTTCCTGTTCGGTCAGAAACTGGAAGCTCAGATGTTCCACCGAATTATGCCCACAAAAGCAACCTTCAGGATACGCTTACTCATGGCAGTACTGGTGGTGGGGATTTTTTTCCTTCATATGGTGAACTTGATTTGGATCTCCGTTTAGGTTCATGGTACTGGTGAGGTGAAGGTGTTGAAAATGGTCTTGTGGGCATGCATCTAGAATAATCTTACTGTCTTATCTGTCCTTTCATGGAGTCAAGCTCAATTAGAGCATGTTCGAGTCGAATTAGTTCAGTTTGGTGCTTTTCTTTTTCTTTTTCTTTTTCTCTGGGGAGGATGGAAGAGAACTTGCGTGATCTGTCTTCTCTGTTGTCGTCTTTTCTATGCCTAATTAATGTTATCATTACCGTTTTTTTTATGGATTATTTATGCATTATACTGCTCCGGAGACCATTTATGTCAAATGGTTCTCCTATGTATATATAATATAATGCATAAATCCTAACTAAATTTCTTGATTTCATCATTTATCTCATCTTCCATTTAGAGATACATAAAGAGATAATCATTCTAATAAATCTGGAAATAAGAAAGAAAAAGAGAAGTAAATACCTGAAGATATTTATATTGTCAACTTCCTAGCTTGGCTGGACTGACCGAGGCCTGGTTCTTGAGCATGAGGTCCCAAGTTGATTAAAAAGAAAATAAAGTATATTGCCAACAACCATAAGAGATTAATTCTCAGGAAGAAAAAACATAGAAAATTATGAAGTAATATTATGATAATCTTTAACTTATCAAGATTAAGTCCATTGCTTCATTTAATTTTACAACTACATGTTTAAACCAACTTTTATATATAATGATTAAATATAAACCCCCCAACCAAAAAAAAATGACAAATTAGTGATAAATATGATAATGTTTAATTTAATAATGATAAAATAAGTGGAAGTTCTCAGGATGATTTAAATAAATAAAATAGTGTATGAAAATTCAGATTTTTTACGCAAATTATTCACTATCCAGTTTTAAGATATTAACTGTTAAATCACACTGGAAATTAGGAGGAATCTCCATACCTTTAGTTGTACTTTAAATTAAAATTTCAGGTTAAAAAGGCCTAAATAATATTAATGATCGGAAAAAAAATACAAAAATAACACAAGAAAAACTATTATTATCCATGTGTACACCGAAAAACTCATGAAAGTATCAGTAAGCACAGATTATACAAAACCAGATCCGGGAGACAGAGAGAGAGCTTACAGGCAAACGGAACAACGAAAGGAATCGGAGAATTCGTCCTCAAGATCAGCATCGACGAGGAAGTGATGATCTTTTCCGGTCACTGCGAAATTCATGACGGCGTCGTCAATCACTTTACCTCTTCCCATTTCTTTCGGTTTGGGATCCCAGTAAACCGCTATTCCACCAGCTTCGGAACCCACTACCAGTACAAGAATTGCAAGAAGAGCAAGAGAGATTGATAGCTTGAAAGCCATTTTAACCGAAGTCTATCAGATCTATGATTTTCTTGTGTCGATGATGATTCAAGCATGCAAGGGCTAAGCAATCACATTTTTCTAAATAAATACAAACAACGTCCTCTTTTAAGAAATGACTAAATGTCCAATAGCTAGAAAATAAAGAGAAATGTCTCAAGACTTCTTGCATTCTTTTACCTCCTTCCTCCACCTAAACATTGGAGAGAGATTGTTTTAGGAACATAAAAAGTAAAGCTTGTAGAGAAGTTTTCATAAAAAAAGGAGTACAATAGAAAAAATAATGGGGGATTAGATCTTAGAAAGAGAAACAAGAAACTTTGAAAGAAGGAGGAATGACATAAATCTTCACAAGAAACCCACAAACTGAACTCAAAACAGCTGAGAGCAGTAAGTCGTGTAGATGTTTTATGTAGGTGCTTTACACCTTTCCTTTGTTTTCCTTTTTTAAATTATTTCTTAAATTTTTAGAACTAGTTCTTAAACTTATATTATATTCATAACAGTGACAATAATAAGAAATAATTGAATTGACTAGCAATTTTGAATAGAGCTATAAACGAAATTAGTGACTTTAATGTAATTGATTGTCAGGAATATTAAATTGATTAGCAATCCTAAATGAAGCTAGTGACATTAATGTAATTCATTGCTAAGAATATTAAATTGACTAGCAAACTTTAATCAAGATAGTTGTATCAATGTAATTAATTACCAAAAATATTTAATTAACTATTAATTTAGAGTAGAGCTAATAACGTCAATCTAAATTACGTTATTTTAAGCTATCAATGTAATTAATTACCAAAAAATTTTATTTTAAATTTATATTTGTTAAAATTAGCTAGAATTCTGAATAACCTATATATTATGAATGTTTAACCTTAACCTAAATACAAATAAAGTATATATAGATTACACTGAAAGTACTATTCTACCCTTAATAAATAAGACTACATAAATATTATTTAATATCTCCCCTCAAACTCACGATGCGACAGCTACGAGTATCGAGAGTTTGCCAACTAGAAAATGAAAATGAGAGATGGAATGTGCCTTGGTGAAGAAATCTGCAATCTGCAAGGAAGAAGGAACAAAAGGCAAAGCAATGATGTCATGCTTGAGATGATGATGAGTAAGATGACAATCGATCTCAATATGCTTAGTTCGCTCATGAAAAACTAAGTTGTGAGCAATTTGAATAGAACTCTAGTTGTCACAATACGTAGGAGTAGGATGAGAAAAGAACAGCAGCCTAGTGAACAGTAGTAACCAAACAATCTCTTTAGTAGTAGATGCCATGACACAATATTATGCTTCAATGGATGATTGATAAACAATAGATTATTTCTTGCTTTTCCAAGAAATAAGAGAATCACCTAAAAAGATACAGAACCCGGTAACAGACTTGCAATCTATAGGATCACTACCATGATCAGCATCAGAGTATGCATGCAACTCCAAGAAAGAGGTGGATGAAAGTAAAATACTCTAAAAAACTGTACCCCGAAGATATCGCAAAATTCAAAGAACAGCAGCCTAGTGAACAGTAACAGGAGAAGCAACAAACTGACTAACAATATGAACAGCATATGCAATATCTGGACGAGTAATAGTGAGATATATCAAACTCCCAACAATAGTGCGGTATAAAGTAGGATCTATCAAAGGTAAACAATTAGAAGAAAAGTACCTCGTATTGACCTCAATAGGAGTATCTACAGTCGTGTTATCAGTAAGTTTAGCCTGCTCAAGAATATCTGCAACATATTTTGACTGAGAAGAAAGGTAACCTCTAGGTGAGTATGCTACCTCAATACCTAGGAAATATCGAAGATAAC